AATATGAAGTCTATCCGCCTTGAATGTTGTGTTGAAAATAATCGAATGTCTAATCAGAATAAACCTATTTTTTACTCGGCCGCCCTCTATTTCATAGACTCATAGTTCCGAAGAAAAATAAACAATTATTACATAATTTTATCTTTTGGATAGAAAAAGTTTTATTTTTGTACACATAATGCATAGTACGTACGAGTATATTTTATAAAAATATTCACAGTAACTGGTTTATAATTAGACTATCGTTCCAATACGAATCGATCGTCACCCTTAATCCTTATTCGTATTTAATATATCATATCTGTATGTATTGTGCGTGTAGTGTCAGTGTGTGTACTGTGTACGCCGTGCGATCAAACGAACTTATTAATAATTATTACGACTTAGCAAAAAAACAAATTAACGAAATATGTTATCCATGTTTAGTATTTAGATAATAGATCTACGTTCCGGCAGTCGTTAGATAATTTACTTGGACGTTTATTGTTTTGTATTATAAAATAAAGAAGAAATTATATTAACAAGAATATTATTATACTTAAATATTAAACATTTTTTTTCCATCCTTCAGAGTAATCACCGTACATTAGAAAATCAAAAAGAAACTTAGAGTATTCTCAATAAAATATTGACCTAAAATTGCCGCCCCTAAAAATTTGCCGCCCTAGGCAACTGCCTACTTTGCCTGACGCTAAATCCGCCACTGCCTATGGTTATTACTTATTGTTAGAAAATAATTAGTTTTTCTTAGTTCTTTTTTGCTGTAAAAGTTTGAGTCATCGACCCTAGTTACTATAACCATAGTATATAAATATATAATATTTACTTTCCTTGATTTATTTTCCTTTTCGCAGAACAAACAACTGTGGTAGGATAACTGACAACTCAAGTAACTTGTTATTTATTAACGCATGGTAATCAAATAGGTACCTAGGTACTTTTTATAAATTTATCACTAGGGCTCGGATTTGAAAAGAAATGCTTTTTTTATATATAGAATATAGACATCTAATTTTTATACATAAATTCGTTTCACGTAATTCTGATTCCAAATAAACGATTTTAATTTGGCTTTTTTTTGTGTAAACGCTTTTTTTTTCTTTTTTATTACTTTTCTCAGTTATTTTAGCTGTGGAATTGGAAGTGAGAGTTTTCACTTAAAACAATTTTTATTCAATTAATAAGAAATGTGAATACCCGGAATACAGACTAAACGGTTATATTGGATATTATAGTTTTTGTTATTGACTTGATTGTATATCTATGTATAATATAAATATATAGATTTTATTGTAGATTATATTGCATATAGTCTGTAGAACCTACACTCAGTACTCGTATAACATCGTTATTGACCAGTTCATAATTTAAGTTTTAAAGTGTTGTAATTTATACTAACAAGATGGGGATTGGGGAACTTGGATAAATGCTACCATATCCTATTGCAAACATTTAGAGAACATTCAGACAGTTATAAAAACATTCGACAGCGATGATGCCGCATCAATTAAGACAGCCAAAAAGTATTTGGAAAAGAATAACCTACATTGTAACTGGGACTTTATTAAATCGAATTTCGGATTTTTACCGAAATCCATAACATTTTTGGAAAAAAAAGGAATAAAATTATCCGATTCATTAAAAACGGTCGAAGATGCGAAAAATAAAATTGTTGACTTAAAATTTACAAAAAGCAAAGTAGTCGTAAAGAAGTTAAATGACGTTTTAGAAAAAAATCCTGATTTCAAAGCTTTATGAAAAATTTCAAAAATTTTAAGCTGCGAAGTTGAAAATAGGGAAGGATTGCCTGAAGACTTAACAAGTAATGATCTGGTTTATTTTATGTATGCACCAATGTCGTCTGTAGATGTCGAAAGAAGTTTTTCCGTGTATAAAAATTCACTGTCAAGTAATCGTCGTAGATTCAAGTTTGAAAACATCAGGAAATATCTTATTGTGCCGTGTAATTTTAAATGCAAAGAATTTAATAAAATAATAAGAATTAAAACATTTAAATATTTTAAACTCTATTTTATTTTTACTTTAGGATCGGAAGACACGGAAGAACATTAAAATTTAAACCAATTACCTTTTAAAAATTCAATTTATTATATAATTTTCAATTCAAATTAATATTCTAATATTATATAATATAAATTCTAATAAAATAAATATTTAATTTTACCACATATTTATTATACCTAATTTTTATGAGGGCCATATCTTAGTACATATACGGCTATTTTTAGGTGCATATTTTAGGGCATATATAATTTGGCCATTTTTGGTGCATATTTGGGTATTTTTTAGAGCTAAAAGTCCCTAAGCCTAGTTATAACCCACCAAAATATTCAAGTAAAATACAAATATATTTTGTTTTTCCAAAGTATGATAAAAAGGTATAAAATTAATATTTTGTTTGCCTGAAGTCGGTGGGCCCAGTGCAAATGTTCCATTTGTCCTTCCATAAATATGGCACTGGACACAAATATAAAACATTTTTTTTTTTCGTATAAAGTGCATTTTTTTAAAAAATTGAATATCGCTCGGACAAATAATCGAAAATATCCCCCGATTTGCTAATAGTATTAGGTAAAACTACCTTGGGCAGGCCTCAGAATTAATTGAGGGGACGTAATGCTAACGCAGTCCCTCGTCCATTTCTCGTACCATGAAAAAAAAAAAGAGGCCTCGGAATTAAACGAAGTTGTTAAAAAGCACCTAATCTGCTAGCGTTGCCACTTTTTTTTATATTCTTATAAAGCACCCTAAAATACACAATTTGAAAAAAAAAATTGAAAATCGGTAGGTTGCTAAACCAAAATTATGCCTTATTTCTTATCACCATATTAACGGATATGTAAAAGTTACAGAACCAAAATCAGACCTATATACTTCAAGGGTCAAGTAATCAATAAGTTACAGGTCCATCAAGAGGATGTCACACACTCACGTCTCACACCCTCATGTGTTGTCTCCGTCTTACAAATGTACAACATAGCAAAAATTGTTTTGCGCGAGACAACTTTTCTTGCAACCATATTTGTTGTAGAACTACCAAATTTGCACAACACGTAAAGAAGAACTTTATCTGTGCAACAGAGTGCTCTTTTTTTTAATAGCACTATCCAATCAATTTTTATAAGCTAATGAAAAAAAAAAACAAAAAAAACAAATTATTTAAAAACAAATAGCATTTATTGCATTTATGTTATATAAAAATATACGGGCAAGATAATTTTCCACCCTATAGGTATGTTCAGACATTTTGGAGCCACTTCTACAAACGCAGAAAGATAAAAGTTTTCCCGCGCAAAACAGGGTTTGCTATGTTGTACATTTCTAAGACGGACACAACCACAGATATATAATATATTATATATATCTGTGGACACAACACATGCGGGTGTGATATGATACCGATAATCCTCATCATATTTCAAACTAGTGCAGCCACGGACTAAGATATACAGGACTGGAAACGAAGACCTTATCTGTAGTCCGTGTATGTTTCCAAAAGATACAATGTGTGTACCTAGCGCTATCTATGTACAGAACAATCAGTTGCTTTATAATAACTGAACATTTTATATTATTTTTTTCATGCTTTAAAATGTTAACAATAATATTTTAACTTAGGTAATATGGGTAGTTTATAGCAAGGCTGGGCAAGTTAACTACCTTTTTTTTTAACTCGTTAAGTTAAGTTAATATAGAAACATGTAAGTTAAGTTCAAAGCCTTGGTGATTAGTTTGTTGTGCTCATAACATTTTGTAAGGCTTGTTTTATTTCACCCCAAAAATAAGGAGCTTCAAGAACAGTAAAAAGTAAAAACTGTAATAAAGTAATTGGTGGACTTAATAAAGGCTTGGATTTATGAATATAAACCAGGAAAAAGATAATATAGTGATTTTAGTGAAATTTAGTAGGTACTGTATACTAATTTTAGTACTAAATTAATTATTTTAAATTCGAATAAAGGGTTGTGTATAAAATAACACATAAATTATTTTATACAAATATTAGAACATAATTAATAATTATTTATTACTATGTATTTACTAATTTAGCTAGCTTTTTTTTATTTGAATGAAGTTTATTAGCATTTTCATTTGTTATTAATGAATACTGTTGCATTCTCATGATTATAAAATTTTAAATAATTTGTGTAAGTACGTCTTTTTTATGTTTAACACAAGGAAAATTGATACTTTGATTGTTGCCAAAAAAGTCATCAATTGTCATTAAAAATACATCATTGTTTCCACAATACTTGACAAATGATTTTTCAACAGTGATCAGTAATCTAAATAAAAAATAATTTGGATGAGTCAAACCACCACGTGTTTTTAATTTAGAAGAGTAGCTTCTGGTTTGCTTGAGTAAGACTTTTTACAACAATAATTTCATTCCAAGAATGGAAATCAGTAGCAGGAACTTTGAACAATGTTGCATGTTTTTCTTTTAAACTCTTACACAAAATCACGGAACATTGCCGAGGCATTTTTAAAATGTATTTTAAACAATTTAAACTAAACCTATAAACTTTAGTCTTTAAATAGGTAGTTTCTTAAGATACGAATTAATGTTTTGTACTTTTAATAGCTTCAATTTAGTAGTTGTGTAGTACACCAGGTAGCAGTTACAGTCACGATTGTGCCAAACCGAAGCATTTGAGAGCCATACCACCCCCCCCCCCCCCCAGTCTATCGTTTCCAGCCCTGTATATCTTATAGTCCGTGGTATAGGCGTATCCTATCCATTCTTATAATATCTATGGCGAACACGCGTTCGTGATTCCAAAGATATTACGATAAGTCGCAACGAGTATTTTAATTTTTTTTTTGAATTGTTGTGATTGATTTGCAGCGTCTTTCGTAATTTTGATTTTGAACGAACGAACCGTAGGTACGATTATTGCTAACTTCTTTCCTGTTATTTTTGTAAAAATTATCATTATTTTTATTTTAGTTAGCACACACGACGCACTCACACAATTATGGCTTTGTGTCCACTCACATCCACACAAGTTTTGGAGTTCTTGCCTTTGAACACTTGGACCGAGGTATGTTCATAAATTATAATAGTTGAGCTTTTTAGTTTTGAATGTTTTATATGGAGGGTATTAATGTCGGGTACCTATTTATTATTAATTTTTACTTTTGTGTAATCATTATTATCGTTGTACAAGGACTGTTCCAAATAGTTCATAGCAAACCTACATGCAGTGGCGGCGTGAACTATTTTATTTTATGAGGCAAGTATAAATGCTCGACCACCACCACCACCTAAATTTTATCACACAGACCCGTGGGGGTAAAGCCCCCACACCCCCAATTCACAATTCTACAACGATAATATACTTTGTTGTGTTAATATCAGAAATATAATAAAATTATTATAAAATTAGTATAATTAATAGTGTTACACATTAGTTGACCATATTTATTTATTTATTTATTTTTTTTTATTAGGGTTAAAGCTTCGACAACTTAGGTCATTAGCCTGTGGTACTGTAGATTTGTTACACGTGTGTGTTTGTTTTGGCAGAATTTTTTATTTGGGGCACCCGTAGGTATTTGCCATGCCCGGGTGGGAGATGGCGGCACTTATTCACCGTGACTTGCCCAAAGAAAATTGCCGCCCGCGACCAAGGAATTGAGCTGGCACCGGCTGCATCGCAACCGACGCCTTAGACCACTCGGCCACTCCGTCCACTTGACCATATTTCATAGGTGGTTTTTAATATCCGTACCCGGAGGGGGGGGGGGGGTACCACCACCTAATTAGTCGTGAGGCAATTGCCTCATGAAACACCCTATCACGCCGCCACTGCCTACATGCTTATTATAATTTTTAAACGGTGGTGGCCTGCAGTCTTTGATTTACACAAGTGCAATTTGTGCCCATGTAGTTAGCAACAACTTTTATTGAAGAACCATATTTCATATATTTCCTTATATAACAAACAAATACAATATTTATAAATATTTTTAACTTTTTCTTCAATATATTAATATTTTTTCCAAATAGACCAAAAGCTCTGCCAACTGCAATAGACAATAATAAAAATTTGGTTGCCCTCTTTTAAATAAATATACATTTGTGCATGTATTTGTAAAAGTGAAGTTGTATGTTACATTTGTCAGATAATGGTGATGGTGCAAACATTTAAAAGTAGTGGGTCCCTGTATTTGTTGTTATTTTTAATTACTTTTATTGAGTATCATATTCCAGTGGCTAGCATTGGTAATTTGGAAACAACAATTCTGTTATCATACTCTGCACAGTTTTGAAATAATAAAACTGTCTAGTGTTACAATTATACCTTCTTTATTTTAAAAACAATGAATAAACAAAATAAATTAACTATTAACGTGAAATTATTAAAATAATGCATACTGTTAAACCTGTGTATGGTGAATATCCTGATTCTTTCAGCTGGTCATTCTCTATGATTCTTTAAATAAAAAAAATTAATTTCAAGATATGATGCTAGTCCATCACAATTATTCTTTAGTCCATGTTTTCTGATAACATCGTAGATCTATTATTTCCAAAATAACTATAATAATTATAAAGAATACATTTATAGGAACCAATAGGGAAGTAAGTTAATCAGTTTAAAGAGCTATTTATTCTATATTTACTTTATTATTAATGCAACGTTTATTAAATAATTAATTCCGAAACCCACAAACATATCAGTTTTATAAACTGCTTAATAATGCACCAAAATAAGATTGTGACCAAAATTATTTGCTACATTTGTTTTAATAAGTCCTAAGTCCTAACCTTTTTCATATTTACTAATTACTATCATATATGTACCATCCTGTTCCATTTTTCTTCAGTCTGTACTTGTATATTAATATGTTAAACATTAGATAAATATAAAAACAATGATACATAGTATGAAAAAAATATCACATACATGCCTAATACTGAACTGAATATCAGTAAAATCGTATTTACTACCTACCAATGATAATCATTTTTTTTTTAAATATAAAGATTATAATATTTATTTTATTTTAATAGGTTTATTTGCAACCAAGCAATTTTAAAAATGTATCTTTTGTTTCAACCTATCACAAAATGGAAAAGCGAAAGAAAGACATGCAATCAATTTCATTACAGAGTAGCTTATTTAATAGAGTTACACAATATGAAGAATTAAAATTAGTGGCTGTTGAAATTGATGGCAAATGGTAATTTTTTAGTACATAATTCAGAAATAATGTACTTTAATAATATTATACACAACATGCAACAAGTGTCTACTTTTATAAATTATATTCTGTGTTTATTAAGGTACAGAGGGAAACTAATTAGTTTCAATGAATTTTTAACTGACAATACCATGATTCAACTAATTGATTATGGCAATTTTTATGAAACTAAATTAGAAAATCTGTTTGTCCTTCCATATTATTTTTTCTATGAACCATTAGTAAGTAAAAGTTATTTACATTTTAAACGCCTAAATTTAATTATTCACTTAATGTATAACAACTATTGTATTCTAGGTTTTACCAGTCACATTCAAAGATTTTATTCCGAAGAAAACAATATTTTCTATAAAACCCCTCCTGTCAGAGAGTGTAAATATTGAGTTATAACTTATAGCTAATATTATTTATACTAATCAGTTTTTATTGTAATTATTATTTATTTATTCTTAGAATCTATATGATGGAGATGTTCTTGTCCATGTTCACTGCAATGATACAAAGTTGGAAAATTGTGTTAATGAAAAACAATTATTAGAATCAAAAAAAGAGTAAGTTATTAACTTTAATATTATTTAGTTGATGTATATTTTATTATTGTAAGCAATGAATAGTTAAAATTATATAGTATAGAAATCTTTATTTTGAATTCCACTCTTTTAGTACTTTATACAAATTTAAAATGGTAGGCTTTCAAGACGTCTTATTTTATTAATTTTAATAGAGCCCTTAATTCATTGTTTTCTTTATAAAATAATTAAAGTAATGATCTACAGGTACGTTGATAACCTTAGTTTTTTTATAATTTGCATACATGTCCTAATTGTTGTAAAGGTTTACAGCAAGTTAGGCATCACTGCAATGGTTCTTGGGCTAACAACTCATTTTCAGTTTACATTATGCCTCTATTGAAATTACAAGTTTCTTTAATTTATTTATTTTTGAATTTGTTTTAGCATTAACTCTGCTAATGATTCAAAAGTTATAAGTGTAAAAAATAATATAACTAATGGTCATGATAATAATGAATCAAGGTAAATATAATTTTATCTATCAAAGTACTACTTGATTAATATTTTCATAAAAAAATTTATATTTACAACTTATATGTATCTAGAACTTTAAGAAGAGGTAATTTCATTAGCGAAGAAAAACTGAACAATGTGCCATTAAAAAATGAGGACCATTGCATTTTGACTTATTTTGAAGATTTTACTTGTCTGTATATTGGAAAAGCTATACAACGTGACAATGATGGCCGTTACGATTTTGTTGATATCAATACTTTATCAAACACTGCTGAGAGTACAGGTATAACTAAATTTATATTTCTTACTGGTCAAATTGTTAAAAAAAAAAGTGAGAAATTTGTAAATTCAAAATAGTTTTGTTGTTATGTTATTTTTGTTACTTTTCAATTTTTTTTCAAACTCATAATTTAATCACCTTAAACTACTTGTTATATTGACAATTTTTGTTTTATTTACCACACATTTTATATTTTAATATTCAAAGAGTTCACCTGAACATGATGATAATTTATCGCTGCATTGGTTATTTACATATTCCAAAATTCTATAGTTTGAAATAACTTCATAGCATCTTTTTTTGTCTTAGTCAAGTATTGGTAGAATGCATACAGTTAAAAAAAATCAATCAATTGTGATTAAATATTTTGAAAAAAATAACTGATACCTAAGTGATTATTTTTAATAATATTTTGAGTATAACCTTAAAACTTCATATTGATAATCAAAATTATAGCCATACTATCTAGTATAGTTTTCATATAGCAATAATAGGTGTTGGATATCCAATAAGTACCTTATTTTGATATTCATAATTATTTTATATCATAAACTGTAAAACAATTAATTTATATAATATGTATTTTTTTATTACTAGATAAAATACCAAAGTGTAATCCAGATGTAGGAGACGTGGTCAAAGTTTTTTCATCTGAAAATGATGGCTTATTATTTAGAGCAAAAATATTAAAAAATAATAAAGGTTGTTATGATGTTTTCTACATTGATTATGGAAACATTGAAACAGTTTCGTCAAATGTTATTTATGAATTGGCTGATGAATTGAAGAAGAAGGTATTTTTTCTTATACTTTTCATTTATTATTTAATTTTTAATGATTTATGTTTTGTTATGATCAAGTTTTCTATGGTTTTTATCCATATTACCACAATTTGAGTAAAGTCTGTTTTACAGTTATTAATACAAATATAATTAACTAACCTATATTTCTATTTATTTTTCAGCCTGGAATAGCTATTAAAATAGGACTCAGTGATTTAAAAGATATTCAAACAACTAAACAAATTAAAGATATGTTTCAAACATTTTGTGACGTTGGAAAGCCATTTATGATTGTACGTAATGTATACTATACTTATTTAAAATTATTTGAAAATAAATATGCATCTTATAATTTTATAATTATAATTAATCATCTAATAAGAAAATATCATATGTTCAATTTGTTAAATGTAGCAATAATCTTTATATATTATTAAAACGTGAGGCGATTTCTTGTGACAGTTATATCTGAAGTTCTACCAGGCCAATTTTCACGATTTTTTTTTTAAATGAAAGTACTCTGTGTGTAGATGAGCCATCAAAAGAGAAAAGTCCAAAAAAAATAATTATTTAATTAGATATTAGAAGTATAAAGTTTGCCCGATGCGCATTGCTTGCCGTGCACACACACACATCTTTAGAACCCCCACTACTCCTACGTCTGCTGCAGTACTGTCGTAGTGTCGTCGTCGCCTGTCGGCAGCGATGTATTATTTGGCATTGACGAATTGTGCACTGTTACTGTTGTGTTATCGTCGTAGTGTCATCGTCTAAATCCGTCTTCGAAAAACCCAAACAAAAATATTATTATTATTATTATTTATTATTATTATTATTATTTTATTTATTATTATTATTTAAAATGGAATATAAATTAATTCCAATACCAGGCGATGGAAATTGTTTATTTCGTTCTGTGTTATGTTTATTTTTTATGTTCCAAGTTTTACCAGTTGTCCCACATGACTCTAGACAGCTTACAATACAAAACTGCATAAAAAATTCTCCGATTTGGCCACATTTTAAAATTCTTAAACTATTTAGAAATACAAGAGTAAACCAAAATGAAATTGAATTTTCCAAGTTTTTGTTACAAATTGGAAATGGAAAATATCCACTAATAAATCCTGATTCGGACGAATATTCTATTGAAATTAAACCATTGTTATTATCAAAAAATATAATAAAAGACGTATTTGGAAATATTATTTTTAATTTAGAAAATGTGTCTATTTTTTCACAATTTGCAATTCTTGCACCTAAAAATGAACATTGTGATGAAATAAATAACTCAATTGTCAATATGTTGCCAGGGCCAGAAAGTTAAGTTTAAATACAGTGTCAAAAGACTGTGACGATTTTTTGTTTCCTACAGAATTTTTAGATAATTTACATTTAAGTGGTTTACCACCGCACAGTTTGGTACTAAAGAAAGGTACTATTGTAATACTCCTGGGAAATTTAAATGTCACCTCCAATCTAATGAATGGCACACAATTTATTGTACAAAATATGTACAATAATTCTTTAGACTTGGAATCTATAACTGGTCAAGGACCTGGTCAGCGTATTTTATTGCTTGGAATTGATTTGACCCCGTCAGATTCTACTCTTCCCCTTTCATTCACCAGACGTCAATTTCCGATAAGAATAGCTTTTGCTATGGCAATAAACAAAGCGCAGGGTCAAACATTGGAGAAAGTAGGATTGTATTTACCCCAACCTGTGTTTAGCCATGGTCAACTTAATGTTGCCATGTCTAGGGTTAGATCCTTTGAAAAGTTAACTATACAAATACTACCAAACAACAAAAAAGATACAATGAATATAGTTTATAAAGAAATTCTCTAGCAATAACAATACATCATTGAAAATCATTTGTTTATCAATTGTTTTGTTTTGGGTGAAATATTTACAGTTTTCCCGTGTATAAATATCTTGCGTATACCTATCTATAAATGTAATTAAACCTTAAGAAATTAAATTATTGTCCATTATATGTTTTTCCTTTACATTAATTGCACATTATTCTAACGATGTATACATAAAAGTATGATATATCTTTATATTTATTTATAATATACAATTATTCAAAGATTTGTTTTTTCCCACCGTACCCCGGCAGCGACGGGTAATTCAGCTAGTGTTAATAATCTATTGCGATAACATTGACTAATGTAATACAATTTTATTATTATTATTTGATACTTATAAGAATACAAATATTTTTAGTTCAAATAGTATTTTACATACAGTATTATAGATATTATATTTATGTTCATTATAGTTTTAAAATAAAATGTTATTTAAGTGTATATTTTATATTTTATTTTTTTTTAGAAGTTCAATGAAAACTCTAAAAATTGTCTAGAAAATGTGAAATTAATAGATATAGAAAATGGATCGTATATTAATTTTGAATATTTAATGAAACATACAGCAACACAGACTGGTAATATTATTTAATATTATTATCTAGTATCTATCTTTTATTTTATTTGTTGAATAAATAATAATATGTTTTAAAATTTTTATTTCTTTATGAATCAAAACAAACGCCTGTAATAATAGATAAAAAATACTTCAATAATTCATAATAATATTTTGATTTGTAGAAGAATCTATTCAAATACCACAAAACCTTACTGAAAACGAGACAGTGCTGATAAACACACCAGAACTAGAAGTCACATCAAATATTGAACTGAAAACTGGCAATACCGTTTTTTGTAAGAAGATTTTAACCTTTGCATATGTTCTAAAAATAATACTACACCAGGCAATTGTAGTATGATAATAAATTCTAAAATTACAAATGGTAAAATAGCAACTCATAAATTGATTCCAAATATCCCTATTTTTATCAAACAACTAATGAAAAAACTTTTTTTCTATTCAAAATTTTTCTAATTAACAGCAACTTCAAAGATAAAATAAATACAGGTTTTCTTAATTATTAAAAAGTTTGTGGAACTATTTTTTTCAAAAGATTAGTGTTCTAAATACTACTATTACTGTAAGATAGAACCTAAAAAATACGTTTGGAATTCTCAATTATCTAAATATATTATGTTCATTGTTCATAGTGTATTCAAAATTATTAATAAAATATGTATTTACATTTTCAGGTTCAAACATGGTTTCAAATAAATGGCAAAGTGGTGATCATGTTGAATTTCTGTATGGAGATAATGTCGATGATATTATTGTAAGAAATATAAAATTATATGAAAAATTTAAAAATGTGTTGGACCAACTAAAAGAAGAAAATTGTAAGATTCAATTTTCAGTCAAATATAATATTTCAAAACTAAAAAAAAATTGAGATAAGCCAATTTCTGATGCAATTTTCCAACCTAACCTAATGCAAATGCTTCAAGTAATTTAGTAAACTAACACTTAAGTAGAAAGGGTGTGCATAATACCAGGGGCTATAACAATTAAAACCAAAACTAATGGCTTAAAAATAGTACTTAATATTTTGCTTATTTCCGATAATTTTGGAGTAAAACTTCTTTCTTGAGGTGTGGGTGGAAAAAATAATTGTAATGAGGAATGAAACAACACCTTAGATGTTAATGTTCTCGGAAACTATTCTACCAATTGTCTTAATCTTTTTTTTAATGAAAGATTATACCATGAAGAAGGTGCCTATAGAAATAGCATTTGTCTAAGATAATTAACATTTGAGTTATCTGTTAATTAAAATAAACATTTAAATTGTACAACTACATATGTATATATATACACGTTTGCTTATCTCACTATAGTAAAGAATAAAAAATAATAATATTTTAAGGACTACGCTAACCGCTCAGAATCATTTCTGATATAAAAATTTAAAAATTTTACTGTTATTAATTGGTGTTGTATTTAGTATATAAACTTTTTGTAAATATTAAACTGAACTTGTTTTGATGCGCATAGTGTATGCTTACATTTATTTTTATAGTTGAACATTACAAACCAATAGTCGCAAAGACTCGTGCAGATGTGGCAGTATATTCTGAAATGGATAGAGGGATTTATAGAGCTAAGGTCTTGATGACAGATTCTGACAATACAAATATGGTAAAATGTACTTTAATTGATTTTGGTAAAGTTGATATAATTCCAACTAAAAATATATTTGCATTGCCTAACTATGTTTCATTAAGAAAAGTGAGTAAAAAATATTTTGAAACTAAAACTTAATAAGAATAATTATTCAAATGGCTTACCGAGTTAATTGTAATTATTACAATGATATTTTTTTTAGATACCAACAATGGTTCGTAGAGTTTCACTGATGGGTGTACACAAGAAGACCTCAAATATTAATATGATAATCCAATATCTATCTTCATTGACAGGAAAAACATATGTTATGGTATGTTTATTTGAAGAGTATACCAGCACAATAATTTTAATAGTTAAAAACTATATTTTTTATTCATAGGAATACTATAAAAGACCTGGAAAATTTAATAGACAAGAAGTCGTATTAAAAGAATTACAAAGCAGAGTGTCTCTTAATGATGAAATCCAAAGTTTTGTTAAAATTAATCATCTCACAGGGAAAATTTTCTTCAGCACAGTAGATTGAATAGAAATACCTAGAGAGCCTATATAAGAAGAGAGTGGCCAACTCGCTAATGCCGTCTAATTGGCTGTTTGATATGGACCGTTATTTGAGGTCCATCAGTGTTTCACTGCCAATAATATTACCAAATTATCGTAAACAAAATATTGTAATTATTGATTTAGGTATGATAAAATACCCTAAATGCTTAGAGTAATATAATTACTCTATGCCTAAATGTCATAACAATTTATTGTATCTTATCATAACCTCAATGTGGACCGTAAATGGCGACCTCTATATAATCCTGATAAGGACCGTTGGCCACTCTCTTCTTATATAGGCTCTCTAGAAATACCTATTAGTAATAATGTATTATATTTTTTTAAATTTAATTATGAATTTTGATATTCATCAAATTCAATTTTGTGTCCATAAAAATATTATAATAATATTTAAATTATCGTAATAAACCAGGTATTTTGTCTGATATTTATTTAATAACGCTCTTTGCGCGTAACTATTATTATACGTAACAAATAATGTGTTGGATTTGAATTTAATAATAAATCATAGCACACAAAAAACAATTATAAGCAGAGATGGTGTGTCATCCAAGCATGCATGTATAAATATTAAAATTTAACCATTAGAAACCACCAAATATTACATATCGTAACATTTTTAATCAAATGCTCTTAAAAAAATAAATAATTCTGTCCGGCAAACCTTTATTTTTGGTTGAAGACTGAAAAATTTGTTGGGAATCTTGTATTAAAATGTCTAATGTTAGATATACAATTACATTTTTGATTATTTTTCTGATTGATTATGGAGTTTGCCAAAATGTAAACTTTAAGTGCATATAAAAAAAGGTGCTCTGCTGTACAGTAGGTTACAAGTAGGTCACTGTATAATGGATGGTATTAAATTTGAATTCAATGATATAATACCATTGTATAAGAAAAACGATTCTGAGCGGAGATGATATGTCAGTCTAGTGTAGTAAGCCCAAGGCCATAATGTAAAGTTACAAATTTAACGTAGAATTATATAATAAAATTATATATACACTATAATAGCACCATCTAAATCTATATCTTTTAGTTCGTATTAGTTTTAATAATAAATAATTATTTAATTAATTCATTTTAATTTTAATTAATCTAAATAATGTATAAGTACCTATTTATTTTGTTAATAAGCTTTCAAATTGTACAGAAAAAAGGAAATTTGTTTTCATGACAAAATTAATCTATAGTCTTGAGTAAGGTGAAGAAAATGCCGGAGTGACACTTGGCCACTTGGGACTAATACATCTTAGTTCATGATGTAAACAAATATAGTATACAATTATAGAATATTATAATTTATAATTACACAAAAAACAGGCTAAAGTGCACTTTACCACCCCATTCATATTTTTCGATTTTTTTTTTGGAACTTATGTAACTCACCGAGTTAAGAACGATGATGCAATCAGAATTTCGCTCTCACTTAGTTTTGATATTATGGTCCTTGGAAGTAAGCAATTTTGCGTTTTTTACGCATGAGCTCAACGCTACGTGTCACGTCTTTCGTGATTTTTTTTTTCATATTCGTGAGACCCCTAAATAAAAAATAAACGAGTGAACAAACACAGGACTAAGAGAGGTCATTGGTCAACTTCACTAGAACGCAGCACTTGACGTAATGACATTTTAATTGTGTATTAAAATAAAGTTTCTTTAATAATATAATATAATCTAAAATCGTATTTATAATTGAATGATTATTATAATTAATCATTATCAGGTAGGTACCTACTATAGGTATAATGCAAGAATTTATGTAAACCAGATTGCAGTGCCGGCGCTAGGTATTGCGGGGCCCTGGTCATAGGTAAAATAGCCTTTAGGTTCTCAGAGAGTAGTGAAATTTTAGTTTTTTTTTAAATCAGGATTTTAAAAAAAGTACTGTTTTTATATATAATATAGGTAAATAATTAAATTTAAATAATGCTCTGTCAATTCTTAATGAATCAAGATATTTTAATGAAACAAAAATCAAATTAAAGCTTATTTTTATCTTTGTTATTCACTTGCCCCATATATAATTTTATGTAATATTAATAGCAAAAACAATCCGATTTTGCACTTGCCCCATGAAAAGGGGCAAGTGTGACGTTTTAAAATTAAAAAAAAAAAAAAATTATTCTTAGGTGAGTGATAATATAACTTTGTTGACTATAAATTCCAATTATGTATATCTAGAGGTGTTACATTATGGAACAATAACAACTTTAAGTTAAAAACAAAAAAAGTATTGTCAAATTCAAAATTAACTTTTCATTTTTGCGTCACATTTACCCCACTTTACCTTACCTACTTGTGTAAACGGAGACAACACATTCGAGTGCGATTCCTCCTGATGAAACCTCGCTCAGCACAGAATTATTGGCGTAGCGTGAGTTTCAGATAAACCTTTGAGTGGAAAATCGTAGGCTAATAAATTCATAAGGGCTGGTTATTTTATTAAATTACATTTATTTTAACAACTACATAAAATCATCAATTAAAAATAAATTAATTCATCAAAATGTTTGAATAAAATAAAAATTGTAGGCGACCGCTGCAGGCAGAATAATGCAATATACGACGGTAGACCAGGGTATTCGTATTAAGATGATAATTAAAAATCACGGGGCCCTTTAACAAGCGCGGGGCCCTGGACAAATGTCCCATTTGTCCTCCCCTAGCGCCGGCACTGCCAGATTGACTATTTCTACTTCCAGGAGAGGAATATTTTTAATTGTCCGGGCGAGCGAGTGACCCCACTCGGTGACTCGGTGCAACAAAAATGCAATTTTCTTAACCCTGTGACCCACTTGAGGGGTGTTTCATAGCAAATCGGGGGATAAATTATTATTGCACCATCGTTTTAAACAGGTTAGAATACGTAAGTACAAAAAAATAACAAAAATAGTCCTCCATTGGAAGGTACCATTGGAAGCATCCGTGTCCGGTGAGTGCCTGTGTCATGTGATACGACAGAGGCACAAATTCCAAATTACCTACCTAATCATATCACAATATCCATTGAAAATTAGGTACTTATAACACTTTATACATCAACAACAAACTGTGATACTATCATAGATATATAATAGTACACTTTGGAAGTTTCAAGTACCCACGAATAATATTATTCAATCACAACAAAATTACTAAAATAGTTATTCTAGGTTTTTCAATATGTAATTTCGTCCAAATTTGAATTTAAAATGTCTGTAAAAAATAACTGTGTTCATATATTTTTTAGATTTTTTGGTTACAGTATGAACTATTTATGAGAACCTTTGTTCTAAATTTGCAATCCTTAGCTATAAAAACTGAACATTTTATAATTTATTATTACAATGATTGATAATTTTCGAGATTTTGATACATTTTGTCAAAATTCCAACTTTAAATGCTTATAAAAAAAAAATGTGCCTATGTATTTTCAATGTTTTTGAACTAATATTGTAACAATATATCGGGAGTCTTCAAGTCTTGTATTACATTTTTACACTTTTTGGTCCAACGGATAAGACAATTGATATTTATAGAAAAAAAACTAAAAAAATTGAAAACTGAAAATGTCCGTAAACAGCTCAAAAAGAGTCAAAATATTTTCAAAATTGTATGGTCTATAGGAAATGATAATTTAAACATTCAGTGAAATTTTCATGTATCTACAGTTATTCGTTTTTGAATTACAACAAAATAAGGAAATCGCTACATGAGAAATCGAATGAATATTCAATGTTGTAAAAATTTGAATTTCAAACGCTCATAAAAATTTAATTTGAATTTCTTATAGACATTTTTTTTTTGATAAAGGTAGATAATCTTATAAGGAATCTTGTATTACATTTTCAAATCTTAGATTTAAAAAGAAAAATTTTTACGAATTCTTAACTCAAAATAATTTGCTAATTTTCGTGATTTTTCCATATTTTGTCAGTTATTGAACTTTAAATGCTTATAAAAAAAAATTGTGACTTAGGATTTTTAATATTTTTCATCTGCCTTTGAAAAAATATAGTAGGAGCCTTCTATTAAATTTTCAAGCTTTCGCAACCAACAAATAAAATTTTATTTATATTTTTAGAATAAAAACTAAAAAAAAAAAAATGGAAAATGAAAATGTCCCTAAACAGTTCAAAATAAATCAAAATATTTTGAAAATGTTATCGTGTATAGAAGATGCAAATATAAACAACCAGTGAAAATGTCATGTATATACGTTCATTTCTTTTAGAGAGACACCAAAAACCAAAATCGATTTTTGGAAAACCGATTTTGCGTAAAAATTCCCGTTTTTCCTTTAATTTTTATGTTGTTTTTCCCGGTGCTTGTGCAAACTACTGGGAAATTTTTACTTTTGACCCCCCAAAGTACCAACTAGATTTACTTTCCTATCAGAAAAGCTACTGTTGAACTGAAGAAAATCCAAGCACTTTTACTGTCCTAAAACATGATGACAGACACAAAAATAAAAAAAAAACACACATCATTGTAAAATCAATACATTCATCGTTTCACTCAGAATCTAAAAAATTAAACTGAATTATTAATAATTTGAATGAATGAAATAAAATATGTACGTATCTTAATTATTAGGCTTCAAACAATTTAGTATTTACGGCTTAATTTACTATGTTATTGACTGTTACTCTCAATTTATAGTACGCGGTACATAACACATCACCCGTGTCGGCTTAATATTTTAGATTCTGAGTGAAACGATGAATGTATTGATTTTACAATGATGTATGTTTTTTTTTTATTTTTGTGTCTGTCATCATGTTTTAGGACAGTAAAAGTGCTTGGATTTTCTTTGGTGGTCAAAAGTAAAAATTTCCCAGTAGTTTTCACAAGCGCCGGGAAAAACAACATAAAAATTAAGGAAATACGGTAATTAATATTCAAAATCGGTTTTCCAACAAATCAATTTTGGTTTTTGGTGAAAATCTTAAAAAAATGACCGTTCCTAGTTAC